AAGTTTTATAAAACCCCGATATATTCATTATGCACTTATTCAAGGGCTTTCCATGAGATCGATACCAAAACTGATGGTGAAATACCATTATAAACAGAAGACTGAGCAAGCAGTGTTGAACAAATCTCAAATCAAATGTTTTCTTCTCATGCTCCGAGTCAGAAATGCTTGCATATCTTGTTATTTCAAATCTCAATACCGTCTTTACTCGCTTATAAGTCGATTGCAAATGCAACAAATGCATAAAGCAAAATCTGTCGGCGTATAATAAGCATGCATATATTGGTTTATGTAATTTTTTAGGAGGATTTGGTAAAAAAAATCCCCATTGATCCTGATATGCAGGCGCAATATACTACGGCTTATTAGGATATTTGTTGTTTGCAGTTTGACTTGTTTTATAAAAGGATAACTATGGTAGGTATATAAATAGTTATATGTTATCCATACTAAAATTTTGCACGCATTCTGCTGTAGGGGTGTCGTCCATATCATAAACACTTTTGAAATTTAGGATAGACCTTAAACATCTTTTTCAAAATGAGATTTCAACTAATACTGGATTATTTAGTCAAAACCAAAGGCTGCATAGTCAAGCAATCGTTCCACGTGTCGGCAAAAGCAACCTTGAACTGAATTATTCTTTTAATATCTATACCTGTCACATAATTTCATGCAGATAACTCAGAAATGATATTTGACACGCATCTTAGTATCAGGCACAGCCTTGTAAATTTCTAAATATGTTAAAAAATTGCACCTGTTATATCGAATTCTTGGATGGTTTTGCCTCTCCTGCATTACCAAATTTTATACATTTATTGGATTGGCAAAGAACACAAATAAGGTACTTTTTCGAAAGAAATTCATTTACTTGACATTACCCGTGGTGGATATGATAAACCGTATCAAGCCTGGATATAAAGAAATTTAATTATTATCACACCTTACCAAAGCGTTGTGAGATGAATCGACCTGTCTTCATTTGACCTAGTAGGACAAAAATGACCTGTTCAGGTTTCATTCATGTTTTTGAAACACGCATCATCACTGTACTAAGAGATCTTAAGCGTTGACGGCAGCTCAGTTAGTCTAGCATTTTACAGGTAATCCTCGGATCACTGGTTCAATGCCAGCCTAATCCGCCCCTGGACAGCCACCCTACGATTTATGTAAAAGGGCATTTAACTCTTGTCGAATCAGCATAATAAAGCCCCGCCCCACCCCACCCCACCCACCCAAAAAATGTAAAAAGTGCCATATCAAAACATACTAAATGTGTAATATAGAGTACACAATTCATTCAGATCCTAAAGTAAATACTTAGTTTTTACTTATGCATATAGATATTGTATTACAAAAAGAAACGGAGTATCTAGTTATTTGAAATCATGTCATCACTATTTCTCATGAGTTAATAACTAGAGAAAAAGTTGTGATATGTTAGGTATCAAAATACATAGCTAACTAAATGAGATCAATGATCGTATCAGTAATAAATATAACAGGAATATAATGGTGCATCACCAGATTTCTGGATGGCGTCGGTGTTGGATTTGCGAGAGATCGGATTTTTTGTTTTGTTTTATTAATTTTAGTCCATAACATTTTTATAGTTTAATAGTTGGAATCACAGTTTTATAGTTAGAATCACGGAATCTCGTGGGTCAATTACATTCATTAAGGTCAAAATATGTCATTGTGAGTCACTTTTCATGATTTTATTGATCACCAAAGGCCAAAGCGAGGCACAACCTTGTCATCACCTTGTCGTATTTCGCTACATGATGCTCTGTACCGACATGAATACAGTAATAATATAGATACAGTACCAACATAGACACAGTATCGAAATAGACACAGTAATGAGATAGATACAGTACCGACGTAGACACATTACCGACAAAGACACAGTAATGAGATAGATGCGGTATCAACATAGAAACAGGACCAGCATAGACACATTATCGAGATTGACTCAGTACCGATAAAGACACAGTACCGACATAACACTGAGGCATACCTACGAAGCTTTCATAAAAGATTGAGCGTCTTTCCCCAAACCATATTTATTGCAAAGAACAAATCATCGTTTCAAATTAAAATTTAAGACCTGTTTTAGACACTGTACCAATATAAACACAATACTGACATAAACACAGTACCGACAGTACTATGACAATATGGTTTATATTGCCTTTTATTCGTTACAACTGCATAGTAAGCAAACCATATCTGATATTCTTGAGAAACTCAAACAAGCCAAATTTGAATTTTGTTTTCATATGTTGGAGTGCAGTTGGTTATTCTTTGTCATGGCATTTCATCATGAACCTGATATAGCTAACAGAAGATAATATTACGTGTCAAGGCTCGAACAAAAGTAACAAGAAAAGAGAGAAGACAACAAGCTTTGTAAAATTTAACAAAATAATTTATTTCCCTAGAAAAGAAGAGCAAGGTAAAATCAGAAAAAGGACTATTGTTTTACGAATCGAATCCAAAATTAATCAAAGAATTAAATAATATGTCTTATCTGTAATATGTCCTAAGTGAATATCAGTTCGAATCCCAATGAAATTCAAGATGCAAGACAATGACATCCTCGACAGTTTTGTCCTGATGTGTCAATAGTTCTTTGTTGAATCACAAAGAATAATATTCCAGTTTGGAATTCCGAATAATTTTCAATAGATGTCTTTGTTTAAGAATCAATTTAGGAGCACTTATATTCCATTGTAAATAAAATACTAATTAAAAAGAATAAAATTTGAACTCAAGCTGGTCACAACGAAACACATTTCAGCTAGAAAGGTTCAAAGGACAACTTGCTATTCCTTCTTATAACAATGAGTTTTAAGACCATCTAAAACGCAAAACATATTCCTGTATGAGGGTCACGTGGTCATCTTACTAGGACAACGTAGAAACTTGGCATGAATAACATCTCGTACTCTAGTATGGCCTTAGCAAAAAATCAATGGTTCTTACTCTGGAAAAAAAAACTTGGTTTAATAAATTGTTTTTTTTCACTACTCACACTGGTTCTGAATCAAGGTCAGCAAACAGATACAGTGCTTCTACTACTGGCTGTTTATCAGGTCAAACAGAACTGAATTTAATTTTTTAAAAAGATATCAAATCCATTAGACAAAATTATAATCAGAATAACATGTAATAGAATAAAATAAAAACAAAAACTTTAAACTAATAAATAAGTAAATTACGTATACATAAGAATAACTTATCCTAAATTTGTAATTAATAGTTGTGGATATGTGAGTGTGTGTGTGTGTGTGTGTGTGTGTGTGTGTGTGTGTGTGAGGGGGGCAAACAACAGTTACTGAAGTTTCACCAGTCATATCTGTTTTGATGTTCATGCAAATACTCCCGTACAGCTAACAACGTTGAGTTAAGACAGTTAATTTTAAAATCAGTGTATCAGCTTTTGTGTTACTGAAATACAACTAAATACAAAAGCTGGTGAAAAAAGAAGGTTATGTACAAGTCACTTTGATCACAAGCTCAGTGAAATGCAAACTGTAATCAATGACAATTTTCTTTGCCTTAGATTCGGTTAGATATGGTTTCCAAAACGTCTTTAAAAAGTGCGGATATGTGGCTAGATCTGGACTATGTCGTTGTCAGAAGCATTCTAGTGATAACCTCATGTCAGTGCCTGTTTACATGCAAGGAAAGCAATTACAGCAAGCGTAGGTACTGTCGCTATGGTGTTATTTTCGATGATTGGAGAATCATTTTCATTCAAAACCAGCCACATAATGCTACCATATATTTAGTGAAAACCTATTTAGAAGAGAAATACTATGATAGATTATATAATTCAATGTACATGTCTTAAAACTGCCTGTTTAATAAGTCTGAATGACACTAAATATACCTAGTTTTGATATGTAAAATATTTCACCAAAATACGTTTTGGTGTCTGGTTTCCATGATTGGAATGTGCATCAGTGAATCGAAGCGAACTTTTGGATTGGATTCTCTTGATCATTTTTCTAGTCAAAGATAGGAAAAAATCCAAAGGGACTTTGTACCCATAAATAGAAAATATTATTATTTAGATTGAGAAAGATATATTTTCATCGGCCAATGTGATATTTGATGACGCGTATTAAAAAAAAATCATTCTACACTATATCATTCCTTCCAGCGACAGATATCAAGGTTGTCAACTTATAGTTTTCTTGTATTTTAAAATTTTAAAGAATATTTTTAACAAATATAACAGATTGCATATTTTCAGTGGAGTCACTAGGCGGAGGGGGGGGGAGAGGGAGAAGAGAACGACTGCAGTCCGCACGGGGTGACACCATCAGAGGGGGTGACACCAAAATAACTATCTATAAATAAAACCTTTGTGAGGAAAGGAGGCTAGAAATAAAAGTAATTTGTCTGAGGACTGCAATTTATTCCAGCTATTAAAAAAATAGCAGCCACACTTAATTGACAATCATATAATGAGTATGACATTGAGTATTTGTTGTTTTAATAATTCTGCGGATGTTGTTTATAATTCAGTCGATGTGCTTTATTTCTAACGTTATAAACTATGTACTGCGCTGCACAAGTGAAGAGCTTTTTTTACTTGTACAGTTTACTACTTGACCGAGATTCGCTTTTCTCTCTTTAACGAATATATCTAAATTTTAACGGCACATCGGAGCATGCTTCTTGTTAAAATGTTAGCGTTAAAAATGAAAAGTAAAATTATTCCCAGTTTCCTAATATCATCGTTTTTCCAAATAAACTTAAACATATACTTGAAAACGATTAAAGATAAAGATGAAACAATTCGGGAAAAGCATTTAAATTAAAGATACGACAAAAGGGCCCTCAACCCCCATTGACCGCTGAATATGATTTGGCCTACATTTGTAAAACTTACTAGATGACCCCTACATATTTTCCACACACACCCAAATGTTTTATGAGGGCGAACCTGTTTCAGAGATATTAATGGGTCAGTATAAAAAGACAGCTCCGTTGACCTATTGGTTAGTGTGTCTGCCTCGGATGCGGGATGTCACGGGTTCGATCCTCGGCCGAGTCATACCAAAGACTTTAAAAATTGTACTAGAAACTGCCACGCTTGGCTCTCAGCATTAAGTGTTACGACTGGTCGGCCCGGTGTTAGGATAATGTGACTGGGTGGGGCAGTATGCTACATGTCTGCGGCATGATGCCACAGTGCTAGATATCACAAAAAACTGTCACACTGTAGACATAGTAGCGATATTTCTGAACATTTTTGAAAGTTACCTTACAAATCTAAATCACACACGCACACACACAGACACACGCAAACACACGAGTACATGATCATATCATTATCTGCGATTTTGTTCAGTATGATATATGCCACTCTACACTAATGGATTTCATGTTCCTAAATGTGCACGTGCATTATACATTCCACATACTTTGATAAACATATAGAACCAGCAGTTTATGTAATATTTGAAGTCACTATAATGAATTTACCGTTCCAAAACTGCAAAGCATTTTTTTGACAGTGCTATCTACCATTTCAATACCCTAATATTAATGGATTAAGAACATAATTTTAAACAACAAGAAAACAGCAAAAACATCATACAAATTGTGGATGATGAAATAAGCGTACAGAGATAGATTGCGGTTCTGCAATACTGATTATTTACATAGTACTTGTTAGTAAAATAAAGTCAATATTATGGATATAAATTTATAAGAATCGATTTTCCTTGTTTCCAACAGAATAACGTGCCCATGTGTGTGACTATTAGAATAAATATTCCTTCAGACTGGAAGCCAATATTACAAAATTCATTTTCTGTATTTTATGAGAAAATGAAGTTTCTGTAAATATTGGGAGATAAACAAGTTTTCAGATTTAAGGTTTTGCATGGCTTATTATATGGATAAAGTAATCGGAAAAAAAATCGTTCAGATCACATATAATTTTGGAATACGAAAATAAATCGTTCAGATCACATATAATTTTGGAATACGAAAATAAATCGTTCAGATCACATATGATTTGGAGTACGAAAATAGCAGTCACAACTGGTTGATAGCAAATATGTCCTTTTCCTGACTAGATGGTACAGTCGTGAGTTGGGGCAAATATTTATGGTGCTGAAGTTGGGTTTCAGGAATATGATTTTCAAGTTGTCATTAATACAAATCAAATACTGAAAGTGATATGTAAATAACAATACGAAATGTATGTATACAATTATCAATAGTTTTGTGCAAAATGCCATACAAGTTTCTGTTTGCAATTGTGGAAAAAAGTAATTCCATTCTTTTGAGAACAAAAATGATGATGAATGCAGTTTGATGTCCGGCTACTCGCAACGGATAATGCGAATAAATAACATGGATTAGGAACCTAATTTTAAACCCCCCAAAATAGCCAGCATAAACGTCATACGAATTGTGGATGATGAAATAGGCGTACAGAGATAACTTTTAGTTCTGCAATACTGAGTATTTACATAGTACTTGTTATTAGAATGATTACTATTATGGAAATGTTCGTATAAGAATCAATTTTCATTGTTTCCAACAGAATGACTTGCCAGAGTGTGTGACTATTGGAATAAATATTCCTATAGACTTAAAAAAAAAGAATTATTGGAATAAGATAAGAAAAAAAAGATAAATATAAAAGTACACAAAATTATCGTTACAGAATTGATAATATCAGACAAAGTGTGAATGAGGATACAATCCTCACTTTGGTTTGAAACAATGCCCACTGGTAAAAAGGGTGTGGATTTAATAGGTGTTTTAAACGACATCGGGTAGCTTCATATTACTACTGTGTGTCAATACAATCTTTCATCACGTAGACAGTCATGCTTGAACAACTTAAATGCATTGGGGGGCACAATACAGTGTCATTTACTTTTTCCACAGATTTTGTTGTTGTTGTTGTTGTTGTTGTTGTTGTTGTTGTTGTGGGGTTTAACGTCATTTTTCAGCACACGATACATGGCTTCCAGTATTAATGGTAGAGGAAGAAACCGAGAAATCCGCGGAAAGAATCACCGACCTACGATAAGCTACTAGCAAACTTTCTCACATATCCACATTCGCCGAATGTTAGACTCAAATCCACGCAGACAGAGGTGAGATGGCAGTCATCTGACAGATATGGTATTTGGAATGTCGATTAGGAAGAACGAAATTAGCTTAATGTAGGAATGGTGTAAATATAATCTTGGATTTAAAAGGTAGAAAACAAAATAGGTGCAAACTATGGCAAACAGCAAGCTAAATGCTAAAAAAGAACACAGTTCACACGGGGTAGTCATTGTATTTTGTGTGAGTACTGATTAATGTTTGGTATCGTACTGGACGGCACAAAAGTATAGCTTGGTTAGTTAGTGTAGCGTTAGTAGAAGTGTCCTGACTAACGACGCTCAACAATAGTTGTCGAGTGTGAAATCGGATGGCAGTTTTGAACCTGCACCGTTCGGCCACGAGCATGGCATGCTAACCACGGAACAACCCTGACTCCTTCCTACAATAGGAGTTGCACTGATTCAACAGCGAACATTTTGTTTCATTCATCATTTTCTGTTTACTATAAACGTAAGCTAGACAATTGTCCGGTGCATCTCTCTCTCTCTCTCTCTCTCTCTCTCTCTCTCTCTCTCTCTCTCTCTCTCTCTCTCTCTCTCTCTCTCTCTCTCTCTCTCTCAGAACTTTCGTTGGGTCTGCACTCCATTGTGGAATTTTTGTGTTTTATATTTTAATTAGTGATTGCACTTTTCATTATTTATATACCTATGTAAAATTCATTGATGAAGAGCGGTTAAGCATTTTTGTAAAATATTCTTATAAATGCTCCAATTTAGGCTACTCACGTCTACTTTATTCATACCGAAAGAGAGTGTCATGGTAATACTTCATAATGAATGGATTTTGTTATATATTTTGGACAGAAATCCTGCCAATCTTAACTGTGTTACTAACGCACTGAGGAAGTCACCGTATCTGAATTACACGTGCATAACTCATGTCCTGGCTCTACCAAGTTGCCCGTATGCGGACTGGAATGTTAGCATATTTTGAGGAAAATGTTTACATGACACTTGTAATGTCAGAACATATTTTAGCTTGAGGTTGATGTTTAATGATATCTTGCAATTCACCAGATAGTGATGATAATTATTTAGAAAATAAACTTTGGTTACGATATTTTTACTTAATTGCATCAATACGAGCTGGCATCAAACATATTTCCATATGTAATGATTTTAGATATGAAACAGTTATTAGGTCAGATTTCACGTCCTGTGAGCACTTAAACGCAAGTGTATTGACTACAGACAATTTTGAACGGTGATTCAAATGTGATTAATTTGATTAATAGGCGAAGTAATATTTTCGGCCTTAGCAAAAATGTGTTAAATCAATTCTCTAAAAGCAAGTAATTTAAGTTACGAAACTATTCCATCACATAATGATAGTTTTTTATGTATACATGGACTGCGTCGCAAGACATTACTAATATTTAATGTCAACATGAACTGTGTCACAAATCATTACTAATATTTAATATCTGCATGGACTGAGTCACAAATTATCACTAACATTAAATTTTATGCATGGACTGCGTCTCAAGGCATGACAAAACTATCTATGTATTACTAGACAGTAACTAATTGCATTTTTCAGAAACATTGATTGTTATAATTCATTGGACTTAAAAAATAGAAATATTTGTTCACTGCCTCATCAATAAACATCCATAACATGACCAGACTAATCTGAGCTAATTTTAAGCGCATGCTTGGTCTAGTAGTTGCAATGGTAGAACATAAATGAAGACAAAACCAAGTTAAAATATCTCGAATACTGCATATACGTTATTTTTCATTTTCTACATTTATGTGCTATTTTGCCATTAATTTGGATAATTATTTTACTACTGATTTTTTGTGTGCGAAAATTATAGCAGAACATAGACAATAAACCCTTGATGTTATCGTGCAGGATAAGGTAAGAAATCTGCTAATTTCTTCTATTGTATACATTGTTAGCCGGTAAGCTTGAGCATAAAATTAAACGAAAATTTGTTTGCTCCCAATAAATAATGTATATATTCAATTTCATAGGTAAAAACGTTTCAAGGACATATATCTCTAGTGAATGGGAACGATGTACTGGCAACGGCGACTTAATGATAAAATGGGGTATATCCACTATTTGGACAAACGGAATTTAAATTGGGGAATTTCTCATGTGTGGTACTAGAGTGACATGGGATTGAAACTGTCTAGGTCAAGGGTCAAGTAAAAATTGAGCATAGGGAATGAACAATGACAATGGATTGAATCTGTGTACGTGGAAACATAGTTTAACATAAACTTGGAATGAATAACAAGAGAAATTGAACATAAAAATTATTGAGCGACAATGGATTGTGACTATCTACAGACAAATTAGGAATAAGAAGACCAAGAACGGATCTTGTCTAGTCATAACATAAAAATTGCATAACAACCTATTTTGAAAAAAAAATAACAGATGGTGGGTGACCGAACGCAAGTGACAGAATAATACACAATCTAAGTTCGTGACCTTTATATAAAGCATTATCTAGACCTGAAATAATGTTGGCGGTCTTCATACATTTGCAGATTTGGTGCTACAAATAGCTATAATCAAGGAAAAGACAATTGCCAAAATGAATGTAACTAAAAGTAACTCTAAAATTACTAAATTGTCCCAGAATTTAACGTTGACTAAACATGTCCTGAACATTCGCTTACATTGATTTAAATTAAAATAAATAAACCTAGTAACTATTTATAATTTCCGCATGTGTGACGATCGACGACAATTTCCCAAGCAGCTATTTATAACTACAACCAAATCAAGTCTACATTGATAGCTTCAAAATGTCTATCTTCAATGACGTCACTGTACTTGACACTAGAGGAATAATGACAACAGTGTTGCAAGTAGGTGACCCGAATACACGCTACTGTAGGTAGGTTGGTAGATGAAATAAATTTGATAGGGGCAAAGGAGTTTTCTAGGGTCAGACAAAGA